AATTTGCCCCCGACCCCTTATTTGTATTTTGAAAAAAGGGGAAAAAAATAACCTGTTTGAGTTTTTTTTTTTCTCCAACTTTCTTTTCCTCACCTCTTAGCAGCCCTGCAGATCAGCTGCACACTCTGCACATCAGCACTCCCACCCCATGGTGCACTTTACCTATATAGGAACACAATAAAACTTGAACTCACTACCATTCAGGTGCCCAGCAGCTGCTTTGCATCTACCAATCTGCCTGTCAATCACACAATCCCACTTTAACCTTTTCCATACCTCTTTGCATACTGCCACCCTTTTATTCCTACTACTCCTCATTCATTCTATTGTCTCATACTTACTCTGCACAGCCAAGGGGTAAGGTCACACTATCCACTAAACATTTCTGAAAATATAAATATCCAAATTCCGATTTCTTGTCTCCTCTGTTAATATGAATTCTCTACCTTTACTTCTCACTATTTAGGCCTCTCTGAAAATGTTTTTTCCTCACCCTCCCCCCCCATCTCCACCCCACAATTTATATATTTTGCCCTCTCCTGCCCTCATCATCTCCTGCTCATTCTAAATCCACATGCTAGGTTTACCTCCAGGACACTGGGGCATGTTCACCCGTACAAAACGCCCTCTCATCTCACTTCACTCACCCTTCTGCTTCTCCTGACTTCAGGGGATCTCTCCCAATCCTGGCCCTCTCTTTTCTAAACACCCACCTTCCTAACCAGCACTGCCTTTCCTCTGGCAGCAGCTGTAATCCACACAACCCCAATTTCTATCCCCCTGCTTCCTAGAACCGGTCCTCCCTTCTCTTGTGCCCTCTGGAATGCCCGCTCTGTCTGTAACAAACTCACCACTGTACATGATCATATCTCCAATTCCTTTAACATGCTTGCTGTTACTGAAACCTGGCTTCAGGAATCCGACTCTGCCTCCCCTGCTGCCCTCTCCCATGGTGGCCTCCACTGGACACACTCACCCAGACCCAATGGACGGAAAGGAGGTGGTGTGGGTTTCCTTCTATCCCCACAATGCACTTTCAAGTTCTGCCTTCACCTCCCTCTCTATCCCTCTCCTCTTTTGAAACTCACTGTATTCGCCTATTCTCTCCAATTTGAGGATTGCCGTTATCTACCGACCACCGGGACCAGTATCTCGCTTCCTTGATGACTTCTCTGCCTGGCTACCCTACTTTCTCTCCTCAGAAATACCCACTATCATCCTTGGTGACTTTAACATTGCTACTAACATTAACTCCCCGGCTTCCACTCAATTTCTTAACCTAACCTCTTCTTTTGATCTAACTCAATGGACACAGACTCCTTCTCACTCTGATGGTAACACACTTGATCTTGTTTGCTCTCACCTATGCACTCCTTGCAACTGCTCCAACACCCCTTTCCTGCTCTCAGACCACAACCTGGACAGTTTCCCAATCACCCTGTCCCCAACGCGGACTCCCCCTACACTTCACACTGTCACCCGGAGAAACCTCCACCACCTTGACCCTTCTCCACTCTGCTACTGACTCCCTCTATGACAAAATCTCACCCATGTCCTGCCCTGGCTACTTCTGTTTTTAACAGCTCACTCTCATCCTCTCTAGACACTTTGGCCCCCTTCACAACACGCAGACTTAGACCACGTCCGCTACAACCGTGGCAAACTGAAGTTAGACATCAAAAAACACAAAGCCGCACTCTTGAGCGACTGTGGCGGAAAACTGGGTCTCTGCAAGACTTTACCCTGTACAAAGCTGCCCTCCTAAAATATAACTCCTCCCTCCGTGCTGCCAAACAAACTTATTTTGTCACTCTCATTAACACACTCTCATCCAGACCTCGTCAACTCTTTACTACCTTCAAGTCTCTATGTCCTCCACCACCACCCACTAACTCACTGCCCAGGACATTGCCACTCATTTCAAAAACAAAATAAGATGCTATTCGGGATCAGATCGCCACTGTCCAATCAACTTCCCCTATTAATGTACCAGACCCTCCCTCACACTTGTTACTTTCCTCTTTTGACCCCGTCACCACAGAGGAAGTTACAAAGCTCCTCTCTGACACCCACCTCACCACTTGCCCCCTGTTCCCTCAAAACTACTTCGGTCACCCTCTTGCTCTATCCTACACTCACATTTTCAATCTTTCACTCTCCATTGGAACCTTTCCTACCCCTCTCAAACATGCACTAGTCATCCCAATACCCAAAAAACCTTCACTGGACCCTGCCAACCTCAATAATTTCAGACCTATCTCCTTACTCCCATTCACCTCTAAAACTACTAGAACGCCTTATCTACAACCGCCTGAGTTGCCACCTCGCTAACAACCACCTTTTGGACCCCTTTCAGTCAGGCTTTCGCCATCAACACTCCACTGAAACAACCCTCCTAAAACTTACCAATGACCTAATAACAGCTAAAAACGGCCACTATTCCTTACTCTTGCTATTAGAACTCTCTGCTGCTTTTGACACTGTTGACCACTTGCTGCTCCTCAAAAAACTCCTCGCTTAGCCTACAAGACTCTGCTCTCTCGTGGTTCTCCTACTTATCTATGCGCTCCTTTAGTGTCACCTACAATTTTAACTACTCCCCTCCTCTTCCTGTAGGGGTCCCCCAAGGCTCTGTCCTTGGACCCCTTCTCTTCTCTATCTACACCTCCTCCCTTGGTCAACTAATAACCTCACATGGCTTCCAATACCATCTCTATGCCGATGACACTCAAATTTATCTTTCCACTACACAACTCTCCCCCTCGGTGTCCTCTCGTGTCCCTAATCTACTAACTGACATATCCGTCTGGATGTCACATTTCTTAAAACTCAATCTTTTAAAAAAATGAGCTCTTGATATTTCCACCTACCCGTGCACCTACCCCCAACATTTCAGTGCTATATAAATACTATGTAATAATAATAATAATAATAAATAATAATAATGTCATGAGCATTTGGCAGGGCAGTATGGTTATACCTTCTGATAAGCCACTCTTTAGATTACTCTTTATGGCTTCTAGCTTGGTGCCCTAGTGGTCTGTGCCATAGATGGATACATTTGTTGTGTGGATTACGAGTGGCCTGTTTTGACATGCTCATCTGCAGTGAGGAGTCTGTTTAGGTTTTCATCCAATTTTACGAGAGAATTTGCTTAATGTTTTAGGATTGTACATTCGTCAACTCTGAATTGAACTGCAATGCCATTATTTGCAAGGGTTTTCACTGATAGGCTTCCATCTAGGTCTGAAACATACAGTAAAAAATTTTTTACGAGGATACTCTGCTTGTCCCCTGATGGTGTGATGCAGTTCAAGAATCCTACTTTTCCCATTTGCTAGGAAAACTTTGTCCTTTGCACTGAAATCTATTTCTGTGAAGAATGTCTCACTGGTCATGTGACTTGTTGCACCTGAGTCAATAAACCATTCGCACGGTATACTGTTCTGAGTCACCTTAAAGGTAACACTCCATGATGTGCCTGCAGTTTCCTTTGTAGCTGCCTTAGCGCTCGTGAGTGCTTCTCACTTTCGCTACTCGGCTTTCCAGATTGAACAGTCCTTTTTTAAGTGACCAGTTCTACAGCGAAAACACGCTCTGCTTTCTGTTTTGCTTTGTGCTTATGCACCTTGAGGGCTTTCTCGTTTTCCTCATTGTGCAATTTTTTTTTTCCTTCCGTCATAATCATGAATTAATTTTTCTTTGGTGTATTCTAGTGTTAGTTCCTGCTCAGGTCTGGTTTCGAGAGCATTAATAAGAGCACTGTATGACTTTGGAAGGCAGCATAGCAGTAACTCCATGTGGTTATCTTTAATTTCCTCTCCAATTGCACATAACTATTCTACCAGCATTACAGTCACATGTTCACGCATTTCCTGGCCTTTTTCTAGACTCCTTATATAGCTTGCGTAGCAGATATAGTTTACTGTTTAGGATTGAACTCTCATGCAGTTTCTGTAATGCAGTCCACATACCTTAGCTGCATTCTGTTTCTTATGTGGATGAGATGGTCATCTTACACTAGCAGACTTATAATTGCTTTTGCTTGCCTGTTCTTGTCCCATTCCTACGCAGGTCCATTGCTGGGTATGTCTACTCAGTACTCACAAGTAGTCTTTGCTTAGCAGCTTTTCAAGCTTGAACTTCCATAGCTGGTAGTTATTGTTGAGCTTTGCAATTGCAAACTTCATACCTGAACTGCTTGCAATCTTTCAGTAGCGTGGATGCAGCTCTTGTTGACTTGCAGTGTTCGGTTTAGTGCCTGGGCCCATAACCTGTTGGTTATCTGTTTAGATGAAGCACTAAGATCTTGAGGAATTTTTACTTGCTTAGCAGGACATGACTTGTATGTATACAGGAATACAACATAGAGAGGAAAACATATATACAGATAGAATTCCTGTGCATCACAGACAAGTATATTGACCAACACTGCCATCTAGTGCCCAAAAGACATAATACATTAGCATAAGCTGTTGGATTTCCAACAATTTTAAGAACTCAACACTGGCACAAGACACCAGGAGTTAATTACTTGCTGTATGGAGTTTAGCCAAGTTCAGTGAATCGGCAACGTTTTGCGCATTCACTGAATCCGGCTAAACCCCATGCAGCAAACGCCTAACCTGTCACAATGAGATGACAGATCCCCCTTGGTTGAGCTCAGTGCCAACAACCGACAATCAAAAAGCTGTGCTGTCACGGTTCTACAAAAGAACATTAAAAACTGTAATTTTACCATTTTAACAACCTGGACAGAATAAGTAAACCGTTCTGATATCAGGCGGGATACAGGCCAGCCTTCATGGGAGCCTCACAGCCTGACACTTCAATCTGGTATTCACCCAGTACAAGATCACCTATCTCTGAGAGTGAAGGAAACACTATTAGAACTTAGATGGTTACAAAAGTACTCAGACATCCTACATATAAAACATGTAGGCTGACAGCATCTTTGACATTACTTATCACGAAAATTTGGTTTGGAAGTTCGGTTTCACCTGATGGATAATGCCTGAACCTGGTTTCCAGAAACCAACACCATACTTCGCTGCGGAAGTTGCCAAGAAGTTATAGACCTCCTTGTTGATATCCTAAAATGTAAAATAAAATAAAAAAAAAAATCAGGAAGGGATATTAAAGTAGATCAGCAAAACAGTTTTTGATAATGTAGAGAAGGTTTGGAGCTCCTCAGGTTTTTATTGATATCCATACCCTGCTAACATGGCTATTGGGAGGCTGCTACTTCTAGTCACAGCTGTAGTATGGGATCTGTACGAGACAGAGGCACCATCAGGCCACCTGCGCAAGTAGGGCCAACCCACGCTTCTGTTCCACACCAACTCCATGCCATTTGTAATTAGTGGGAGTCAGTATGTAATTTCCCACCTTTTCAGGGCTTTTGCAATAAAATATGAAAATAGTAGTCCCCAAACTTAAGGGTTGGATCAGTTTATGCAAGTTTGACTGAGCATGTTTAATTGCAACCTTTAAATCATGGACAAAGATAGGGCTGTAACCGATAAATCAATCATGAGAATAGTTGTCAACTTTTCTCATTATCAAATAGTTGGTTGATCCCCTAGCTGGCAGGAGGGCACAGAAAGCAGTGGATGGGTGCAATAGCCAGCCTGCTATTGCAATTTGAAATGGCCAATAGCAGGCTGGATATTGCAGAAGCCCACTACCTGCTGTATTTACATTCAGCTGCCTTCTGCAGAATCTTGCAACTGGCAAGTGTCCTTCCCTGGCTGAAGCTATTCAAGGGCCATGTGCTTCCGATACATTAAAAAAAAAAAAAAGTTTAATTTGAAGAGTTATTTTCTATTTCGGCCTGAAATTTTGCTAAGGGAGGTGCGTTGCAGTGCCATTCATTTAAATGGCACCCCAAATTAACCTCCCACCCACAGTGTGATCGCCCGCACTAGATGGACAGTACCGCAATGCTGTGCGTTAGGGATGTCCCGATACCGATGCTAGCATCGGAATCGGGCCCGATACCGATGCTAGCATCGGAATCGGGCCCGATCCAGGGCATTTTGACAAGTACTTGT